CAAAACCTTCACGTCACTAGATTACCATCACCATTTGTTGCTTTTCACTTCAGCTCCCACATAATTTCAGGAGTTAAACCTTACTAGCCACAGAACTGGAGATTAGTGCTTTGTGACACTTGAAAGCTGAGGTTCCAACTTCCAGTTACAAGATATTTTAGCTGCATGCTATCTTTAACAGCTGGTGAGATAGTAGCTGCTCTCATGTCAGAATTTGAAGTTGCAAGGATTGGAAGGGAGCAGAATGACTAATTGTGATGCACACATTCATGTTCTATCTCTAGCTTTGAAAGTTTTAAAAGAAATGCTTTCACTGTTGCCGAGCTCGTAATCACAGCACAGCAGTTGTGCACAGTATTTGTTCCTATTCCAGCCGGTTCAAGAGATACCAGAATTTAATACTGTCAAAAGATGAGCAGTGTTTTGGGCAATGATCCAAGGCAGAACATGGTCTATGGCATAACTCTCTAGTGCTTCCCAGAACTCTCATATAATTTTTATTCAATAACTGGGAGGCATAATATTAAATGATACCACAGTATACTAAGCAATTTTTTCAGGAAGGAAATTATTTATTTTCTTGAATGTACATGGATTTTTTTCCCTTTTTTTTGAGGAGAACTTGATTTTCAATCTAAATCTCAGCACACTGTAGTGTTTTCATTGTGAAAAGTACAAAGAATCTCCCCAACATATTTGGATGGAAAATAGCAAGTGAATAAGGGACATGGGGAGGAAATGTAATGTCTGTTTCAGAGTAGTATATCTTCTATACCTAGAAGAAGTAAGAGGAAAGCAATGAAGATGCATGCTGAGCAACTGTTAAAAGTTAGGAATTCTGAAAGGGTAAAAGGAACTAAATTGAACCTGGCAACCATGTAATTGCTGGGAAGGGAAATGATCATGATTTTTATTGGCCTGAAGATTATGTAGGTAATGATAGTATTGTGGTAAGTGAATCTTAATGTATTATAAATGAATGAGATAAGGGCTTATGCCAAATGCACTTTCTTAGCCTTTTTTAAATTCTTAAATAAAATTGCTCAGAAAATATATTCTATGCAAATCCCACTTCTTAAAACAGAAAGAAATGTATATATTATTTATATCTTCTTTGTAGGACCAGAAGAGCTATTCCTGTGTTCAAAATCAGAAGGCATTTTAAAAAAGAATGAAATATTAAAAGCATTTAAAAGAAATATTAAAGCATGTTATACAAGTGAAACTTCTCGTATCTACTTACAAGTCCTAAAACAGCCACCTGTACTATCTGTATCCTTCAAAACTCAAAAAATCTCTTTTCAATTTTTACTTTCAAATGTACTAAATTCTGAGTGCTTGCAATAAGAATGTAAAGATTTGAATAATGAGAAAATGTTTTGAATAATGAGAAAATGTTTTGAATAATGAGAAAAATGTTAAAATCAGTTTGTATTTAGCCTAAATGTATGCTTAGCAGGAGCAAAAATACTGAGACATGCTTTCTTTTCAAACATAAGGAATTTTTTTGATACCTTATTGTAATATGAAAGGAATTAAATATTTATTGGCAAAATTATATGAGTGATAAATGGAGATGTACATAAGAGAAAGAAGCATTTTCAGACTAATTTTGAAAAATGTGCTTCATTCTGAATATTTTCACTGTAAAAGCAGATGATTCTGGTTCATTCCAGGAAGTTCAAAGTATTCTAGAAACCAAAGATAGAAAGGCCATTGCTCCCCTATTACTATCATTCCCCTAGAGGTGGAAATTTTACTTCTTGTGTTCATTTTCTTGAGGAGAATGGAATGAATTTTCTTCCATCATGTAGTTGAAAGGGAAAGTTGTCTTATTTGGTCATCCCATAGCCTGCCATGGTCATATTATAAAATATTATAATTGAAGAAAAATATTATTATGCAAAGCTATTATGTGAAAAATATCTGAATAACTGAGAATTAACAATTTAAGAAAATAAATGCTTTTATTTTAAAGGTCATTTTAATTCTTATTATATGTCAGAATTATATGTCAGAACAGTGAAATAATTATGTTATAAATGGGAATGATTCTTCTTTTGGAAAACCTGAGTTTATGAAAGACTATTCAAAGGAGTGCTTTCCTCTTAAGTATCCACTGAGTTGTATATATCTCCTACCATTCTAAAAGTTCTTACAGTCAGTAACTTTTTCAAAACTTTCAGCACAGTTACTGTGATACAGAAGCAAAGGGTTTGGTTTAGTAGCAAAAGTTTGATAAAAATATATTTTATTTTTCTAGTTTGATAAAAATATATTCTATATTTTAGGGAAAATATTACATGCAACTGTATAGTGAATTTCAGTGGTACCTACTGTAATACACTGTACCCAGAAATGTACTTGGGTAAATTGTTCTGATATAAATTTTGGAGTTAAAAGTGGTTATAATTTTATAGGAAAACACAAACATTGTCTTGTAAGGAAAATAAAAGCATAATTTTTCATGAGTTCAATAAGCAAAAATAATTTAATAAGAAATATAGGAAATGGTGATTTGTGTTCTTGTGGATCTCAAAGGAAACACAACATTTAATATTTAAAGAAAAAGTTTGCTATTTGAGAGCACATGTATTTTTAGAGATTGGAATGGCATAGAGGGTGAGTTTACAGTGGGTTAGAATAATTTCTGCAGTGTAAAATATGAAACCTAATTCAATATCCATATGTTCACTCATGATCTTTCACAGTCCCCGAATGCTAAATGGCAAATACATTTTAATTAAAGCAGAAGCTGACATAAATCCATGTTCTATAACTTTGGCTTAGTTTGTAATTCCACTCAGAATATTAATTATTTTATTCATAAATAAATGTCTAAAATTGTAGTTTAGTTTACACCAGTAGATGTTAGCTCAAGCTTATAGTGATTTCCTTTCTGAGCTCTGATTTGGTTTCAAACCAGAGATGCCTTCCTTCTATATCCACTCATGAAAATAGCTTAGCATAGCACCACAGCTGAGACAGGAAAGGACAAATTGAAGTGGTTCTGAACCGAAATTTATTATTGATCATTGCAAAGTGAATTCTCATCATTTATACTTAAAAATTACATATCCAGAATGTTAATTATTTGGTCTAAATCATTTGATCAAAACATTTCTGATGCATGTATTTAAGATTTTAGTGGTAAAGGCTCATTTTCATTCTTACTTCTTTTTCTATAATAAATTAATGACACAATATATGCCTTTTAGAAAAGCACCTGAGATAGTTAAGAGTATTCCTTTGAGAAGAGAACTGTTTTTTATTTTCCATAGGAGTCCTACATTTAAATAGGAACCTTGATAGCATTGAGCTAGTGTAGCAAAATTCAGCTAATCTAAGAGGCCTATGGAATTTGTAAATACTGAAAAGAGACAAATTACTTTCACCATGTTTTTGGAAATCCAGAAATTCCTTAAACTTTAGTGTTTCAACAATGAATGTCCTTAAAGGAGAAAAATATTTCATACATCATCATTTTCCTCTCTTCTCCATATGTACAGCTGGATATTTATCAGAATATAATCACCTTATATTTCTTGTATTTTCTTTAATGCTGCTACACTAATCCCTTATGATTTTGCCTCTAATCTGTACTCCTGAGAAATACACACATCTGTCCTTGGGAAGTCATCATTGATTAAAACAAACAACAACCTTGTAATGTCTCTCTGTAGAATCATTACATCAAGTTGTGTGAGGATTAAATAAAATGACAATAATAATTTAAGTATCATGTGTAGCTACCTTAAAATTGTTCTATCTAGCTCTTCCATCTAATTAAGGTTTGGAAAGAATCCTACCTTCCATTAATACTTACTATGCACTTTCACTAAAAAAGAGATTAATTTAAACAGCAGTGAAATTTTTAAAAATATTCTGTGGAGAAATGCATGCACAAACTATATTAATTGAGCTCTAAAATAGTGATGCTAAACAAGAAGAGCAAGAAAATGCACAGTGAAGCAGGAAATGTACCATATGTTGTTGTATACCTGGGTACAATGGGGACACAATCTTAATGGCTTTCTTAATATTTCTGTTGTACCAGATATTGGTGGACATATGGCATGGTGCCTTTTTATATGCTTGTGTCTTTTCATGATTTTGTTAGCTGACTTTGACAGCATTTTCCATTTGTCTGCTGTCAGGAAAAGGGCTTTAAAATGCTTTGCTTGCTTATCTGGAGTTTGAAACCCATGCATTTTCTTTTGCTTATTAATTTAGACCCCATTTTAAAAATTTTCTTCAAGAGCAGTTGCTTATTACATTTATTTTTAAGCTTTCCATAGTCTTAGCCCCTGTCTGGCAGTAATTTGAAATACAGTTGCATATTTCACATGCAGATGGGTTTCGACTCACTGTCAGCGCTGGCCAAACAGATGGCTAAAGCAACAGCAACAGCTGCAGACCTCACCTGGCTTTGCACAACCAGGATGGTACAACCATAGAATCATTGAGTTATAGAATCCTTTAGGTTGGAAAAGACCTTCAAGATTATTAAGTTTATCAGTTAACCCAGCACCACTAATCCATGTTCCTAAGCATCCTATCTACACGTCTTTTGAACACCTCCAAGGATGATGACACAGCTACTTCCCTAGGCAGCTGGTTTCAGTGATTGACAACCCTTTTAATGAAGAAATTTTTGGTAATATCTAAACCTCCGATGGCGCAACTTGAGGCCAGTTTTCCTTGTCCTTTTTCTTGTTACCTGAGCACTCATGCAAGCGGCTTCTTCCCTGACTGCCCCAAGGAACCTCAACTAGCTCCAGCTGGTAGCAAAGTTTCCCATTTCACTTGGCTCCTAGCACCCTTCCAACTGAGAAACAAAATGCAACTTCTTGCAATATCATTTCCTGGCTAACACTTATTTTTAAGTTTGGCTGATGCAGAATACCAAAGGGAAATGTTTCCTTAATTTTCTATGGCCCAATCTTCATAAATGTTCACATTTAAATAGGTTGTTCATTGCTTCCATCACATGGAATACACACATTGAAGTCAGAGAAGTCCAGAAGTAGTCAGAGAAAATATATCATGTAGCAGAGAAGAGCAACTGGGCCAAATCCTTTTGACATACATATGACTTGCTCCACTTATATCCTGGCAAAAATTCCCTTCCTGAAAGCAGTGATCTCATGGCTTCTTATTGGAGGTATTTGAAGACTGTTTAAACCAATGTGGAAATAAAAAGACATTGTTGTACATTAGCTGGTAAGTAAACATTCTTAAGTCTTATGAGACATTACTGATCAGGGCTAGTTTTTAACTAAGATTTAGTAATTTCTGTCAAATGTGAGTATTTTTGTCTGAACATTTGAAACTTACCATTCTAGTATTCTGCAGTTCTGCTAGCAGCTTGTTATATGTATAAATGCAATAGTTTAAATATGAAATAGAAGGCATAACGAAAGTCTCCTAAATGTTTATAATGTCAATAACCTTACATGATATCTAGCAATGCCAGACAAATTGTTTCTGAAATGTTTAAATAAGAAACATTTTAAAAACAAATAACTTGATTTGTCCTGAAAATTTACCATGTGTATTCCCAGAAAATTGAGTAATTTAAGTCTATAGCATCGGTTAAACTCTATATTTTAGTCTCCTTTTTTATAATTTAATTTAAAACTTTTTCAGTTGCTAGTTTTAAGGAATTCTATTTTTAGTTTATATTAGTATATCTTTGATTAGCACATGAATGGGAAAGGATAGAACTATGAGTAATTTTTCACAGTATTTTAATAAGGCGTTGTTCATATAACTTATGTAGAATTTTTTATAAGGCAAAGTCATTATTGGAAATCATTAAATGAAAGTAATTAAAGAAGAAACAGGCATCTCTTTCAAAAGGATTCCAGTAAAATCCAGTAACATCAACCAAGCTGCTGCACAGCCTAGTCTTGTGTATCAGCAGGGTGAAGAACTTGCCGACTTATTGATTCTTACTGAAGTAGGGCTTGGCAATCAGTTTGTATCTGGAATAATTAGTGGGGATGTTAATCAGTAGACAGGAGCATCATGGGGTCCCTGACGCTATGAAGAATTACACTGCTATGCCAGCTCAAAAGCTTTTACACTTTGGCAGCCTAAATGCTTTTGACATGTGACACTGTTTTTTCTAAGAACATTGTTGTCTTATAAATGGTAGACAGATTAGATTAGATGTGTGTGCACAGTGGCATGACTGACTTGTCTGCAATGTCAGGGAATGGATTTAGAAATGGATTGCAATTGGAAATAGATAACTGGGTACCATTACAGTGGTAAAAAGTCTCCACATTTTGATAAAAAGTCTCAGGTTTATTTTATTCAGACTTTGTTCACAAGACTATTAGGGTCCCAGAATCAAGAGTAAACCAATGTGTTTGTGAATTCCCTTCTCTGAAAACCTGTTCAAGACACATAAAGGGACAAGAAATTTGGTAATTCCACCATGGATTTTGGTATGATTTGAATGGAAGTGCAAAGATGACATGGAGGGAAATGGAGATGTGTGCTCCTACGCTTAAAGCATAATAAATTAATCGTGGATGAAATAAAAACTAGTAAAACAAAAACAGTTTAGATCTGACATTTTTTCCTCACTCTTATGTGTAGTCTTCTTGAGTTAGCTTGTAGGGCTACTTTGGGTGTACTTAATATCCTAAATTTTCATAAATGTCCATTGTTCTATGCAAGGCTACTGTCTGTTCACTGTGCTCTAAATTCCCCAGAAGGTAATAGCCAGTTTCTGGCACCCAGCTTGTGTGGATATTCTTGGTCGGCTGCACATTGTTATTAGGAATGCACCTTATCAACTCAAAAATTATAAAAACTAACATACTTTTATCATAGTTATGTTTCAATTATAAACTTTATAGTGCTTAATCTATCTCCTTATTGTTATTAATTTAATATGAAGATGTTATGCTAGAGTAGTGGCTAGAATTCTGTCAAATGATGAGTCTGAGACCTCTTTAATCTTTTACACTAATCCCCACTTTCCCTTCTTGCCAAAAAGACTCATGAGTTGAAAGTGCTTTAAATGTATCTTGAATAGCAATAGGACTGAAGTTCAGAACTGCCAATCAATAAATAATGGTCCCTAGTCATCAAAACTGTAGCTTTCTGCTCACTGTGAAAGACAATTCCAAGTAATTGCTCTGAAACCTTATGCTTTTTCACTTCTTATTTAGGAATCAGCTGAAAAAGTATCCAAGGTGTACAAGACAGAAAGATTTTCTCATCTAAATTCTAATGTCTCCTATTAAAATCCTTTTCTTAGAAGGAATTTGAGCTGCAACTGTTTAAGCTTGACCTGACCTTTCTGTTTCGTGTTGTGGTCACACCTTTTTAAAAATTCCATTTCAGAGTGAAGATGCAGAAGAAAGTGAACAGAGGATTTGGGACCAGAAAAAGTTCTTTTTCTGTTGCTGGAGATTCTACCACAACAGTGAGTGAAGATATGGGAGATCACCAAAAAGCCCTGCAGCAACAAGGATAACAGCAAAGAGGAGAAGTAAACATTGTTCATAAAGACATACAAGAAAGTTTAATTGACAAACTGCATGTCAGATATATATAGGAATGCTGTATACATTTTTTCTATGTATTCCTGATTTTCTATAAGAACCAAGGAAAATATGCTAGAGTGAGGCTGGATGTTTCTAGAAGTTATGTCAGCCATTGTCATTCTTTTCCAGTTGTTATAACTGTTCTCTTCTAAACCAAAAGGTGGATATTAAATGTCCCATATTTTTCCTTTGGGAAAAAGGACTTTAAAATGGGCATGGTCTATGAGAGAGGCTCACATTCTGTCCTGGGAAGACGTTGAGTCTGAAATGGAACTCAGTGGTTTGTTTCTTGCTTTGCTTGTGTGTTTTATTTTCATACAGCAGTGGAAAAAAAATCTGTATCACAGGACCCTCAGTTCTAGCAGGGTGACATGTGTATTACACTTTTCTTTCATTAAAAAAAAAAAAAAAGGAAGAAAAAAAATATTTTATTTTAAATACCCAAAAATTATCACAGTTAGATTAAAGAAATATCCTTTCCTTATGTGTTTCTTATACTCATCACATAACAAAATTAACACATCTCAAATTTACCTTATTGTCTACATATCACATTTTCATTTAAATTTTACTTTATTAATTGGCCATGAAAAAAATTGTAAATGTCATGCAGGAAGTAACATAAATAACTTAAGCTGGAAAAGCAGATTTTGAAAACTTTAGAAAATTCACAATTTATAAAAACATCAGCCACTTTCAGCCATCAAGGGAGACATAAATTATAATTTTGTTTGCCATGTGCAATTGATAATGAATATGTGTAGATCCTGATTCACAAGGATTTTTGTAACTGCTCAGCAATATATTTGCTTCATTCCTTATGTCCCTATAAACAGAAAATGTAATTGAGGGCTCTAGTTGTATTTAAAGCTATGTCCTTTCTAAGAGGGGGCTGTTAAATCTCTTGATTTCTTTTTTAACCTAGGGCCATACAAAAAGTGAAAAATATTAAAGATTATTAATTATACAGGAATCACATTTTTCCCAGGAATTCTCTGAGTTGCAGATGCTTGGAAGCTGGGAACAAAATGTTCTTATCACCCTCTCTGAGCTTTAGGTTGCTGCTGGAGATGGGATGCTAGAGCAGAAGTCGCTGTGTTTTGACTACCTTTATACATTCTTAACCCTCTTTCATGCTTGTAATGCTGAACTAATTTCAGCCACTACCCTTCAGTATGTGCTAAGGATACAATGAGGGAATTCTGTCTTTTTTGCCAGTAGCTGATTCACAAGTTGATCAAGAAGGTGCAGAGATACTGTGAGACAATTTATTTTTAAATGGAGTTTTTAAACATGTAACACTTACAAGAATTGATAATAAAATAAGATTTATAATTCTTTTTTTCATAATTCAAACTTCCTCCCTTTATTAGCTCACTGGTTCAAGGTTTTATATTAGAAAAAGATCTCTGGTATTATTCCATGCATTGTGAAACGGCATGCTGACTTTCTGTAAAACTCCATCTGCTTTTCTTATGCCAGCATCTTCACAATGCCACAGTGTATGAAATGGCTGCATTGAAAATGTTGATGTGAACAACAGAAATGGAAAGTGCATAATTATTGATTTTAAAGTGCTCTCACAGCCAAATGTACTTCTTTGGTTACACTGAAGTACTTGAAAGTATGGCAATACAACAGTGTACTGATAAAAGCTTGTCTCATTTAGATAAGCTTTAGAGATAAGATCTTTCTCTTTTTTCCCTCTGACAAGCCATTAGAAATATAGCTCTTTTAAGGATGAAGTATGGTTTCAGCACTGGCCAAAATACCTATAAGCTCCAGACTACCTTTTCAGCCCACAGTAATGACTGTGCCTAAAAATCAAGTCAAACAATGTTAGGAATCACTGGGGAAACTGGGATTCTATCTTTCCTCTATCTATTCCTAAATCTGTAGAAAAAGCAAATGACGCTTAATTGGTGCTTTAGATAATTTCTGTGCTAACAGCTTGGTAGTGTAACATGGATATTAATGAAAATCAAACCAGAAACTAGTTTCTGCTGCTCTTTCTAATTCTACCATAAACTCTTTCATATGTGTTCACTGTATTATACTACCCAGCAGGTGGGATGCATCTGGCTGTTCTAAAAGTCATGGTGACAATAAAATATCATCACATGATGCTAGTTTTAAAATTTAAATTTCAGAATGTCAGTACAGTATCTTTTCTTTCTCATGAGGAAATTTTAGTTTCTTTTGGGGTAGTTAAAATGGACATTTATCCCACACATATCTTTCCGATCACTTATTGATAGTATTTTGCTTTCAGGCACCTTCTGAATAGCACTTTTAAAGTTTTCTTTCTTGCCTCTTATAGATCACACAAGATGCCTTCATTTTTCATTATTTGTCCCTATTGACTGAGACAGAGAAAACTCAGCTACTTCCATTATCTAAACAAATTATTTATTTCATCTTTACATACACAAAGAACTTCAGAGGCCTCTCTGAAGAAGTAAACCTGTAAATTAGTCACTTGAAAGTGAGTCAAAATAAGGTGATGGATGATTATTGTGGCTGCAGTTCAGAATGTTTGAGAATGCTAATTTATGACCTTTCCATAATAATACTAGAATAATTCCTGATCTTAAATATACACCTATGATATATGCTATATACCAATGTTCCCACACATTCCTCTTCACATTTTACACATGGAAAGAGAAGATTTACAGATTTGTGCAGGACTGATTTTCTCAAAGTCACCAAGACTAATTAGGGGAAAGCCATGAAAACTAACCTTAAATCTGGTTGCAAATAACTGAGCTGTTCATCTTTGGAGATGAGTGGTGCCTAAAAGAGTGGAAAAAAATAGTCTTTCCTAATTTCCTTTTTAAGGTAATAAATAGTATTAATCTTTTATGTGGATCAGTTTTGCAAACTGATTGTAAACAGTGATAGAAAGACATGGAAATAATTTTCACAATGCTGAATTAAATCTTGTTTAATACCATTAATGTGTGTATTATTTCACATTGTTACATGTGCAGAAAGAGAGGAAAGAATTATTTATGTGGGCCTGTGTTCCAAATAACTCAGCTGGAAGAGCTCTACAGTGACCATCTACTCCAACTGCCTAACCATTTCAGAGCTGACCAAAGGCTAAAGTGTGTTGTTTAGGGTATTGTCTAAGTGCCTCTTAAACACTGACAGCTTTGGGACACTGATCACCTCTCTAGAAAGCCTTTTCCAGTGTTTGACCACACTCTCAGTAAAGAAATGCTTCCTCATGTCCAGTCTAAACCTCTCTTGGCACAACTTTGAGCCACTGCTATGCATGCTGTCACTGGACACTGGGGAGAAGAGTGCAGCAATTCCCTCTCATCCTTTCCTCCTCAGGAAGCTGAACAGGGCAATAAGGCTGCCCCTCAATATCTTTTTCTCCGAGCTGGACAAGCCTGAAATCCCTAGATACTGCTCCAAGGACATTCCCTCCAGCCTTTTCCCTGGCTTTTTTGTCCTTCTCTGGATTCATTCAAGGACCTTTATATCCTCTTAAATTGTGGGGTGCATAATTGTACAAAGTGCTCAAGGTGAGGCCACACCAGCACTGAATAGAGGGGGACGATCACTTCATTTGACTGGCTGATTGCACTGTTTCAGCCATCCTAGGATGGGATTTGCCCTCAGGATTTCCAGGGCACTATGCTGACTCACATTGAGCCTGCTGCAGAGCAGCACCCCTAGGTTTCTTCCTCCAAGACTGCTCTCCAGCCACTCCTCTCCCAGTTTATTATAATGCCCAAAATAACTCCACCCCTGGAGCAGAATATTATATTTGTTCTTGTTAAATTTCATCCCATTAATCATTACCTAATGCTCCAATCTGTCTAGATCCCTCTGCAAGGCACCTTGTGCCTCAAGAGAATCAATAATATCTCCCAGCTATCATTAGCAAACCTGCTGATGGTGTATATTGCTCCTGCATCCAGATAGTTAATAAATATATTGATATATTATTGATAAATATATTGAATGAAATGGGCCCTAAAATTGAATCCTGAGGAACAGTACTGGTAGTCACTTGGCAGACAGATGTAGCCCCATTCAGTCCAACCCTTTGAGCTCAGCCAGTTCATTACACAGCACACCCTAAAAACACTCATCCACAGTTAGACAATTTTTCCAGAAGGATGCTGTGAGGTACAGAATTAATAACCTTAGTAAAACCCAGACAAACTACACCTACCACGTTCCCTTCACACACAGGCAGATGACTTTATCATAGAAATATATCAAATTAATAATGTAGGACTTTACCTTTGTGAACTCACGTTGTCCATGTCATGTTGATTTCCTGCTTCCTGAATTAAGTGCTACTTTTCTGAGGGATGTCTCAATCTCCCTCTAGAGTACTTTGAAACACTTTTCAAGATACAGGAGAAAATAATGTGCATTTATTGCAATATTGACTTGATTAACAGTAGAGAATAATTATGAAGGGTGTGTGACCAGTCCAGAGCTATGTCTCCAGTAGGCTGGGAGCTATCAGTTTCATTAAGAGCGGGTGACTTTTTCCTACTGAAATCTCTACGCTTGTATTCCCCAATCCACTTGTCTCCATTACTTTCTCAACTGAAAATTTTCTCAGAATAACCTGAGTCTATTTTCCCCATTTTAAATGGAAAGAAACATTAAATGCTGTGTTTAAAATATGCCAGTAAGCATATTATTTCTCAGAAAACATGAAGATTCTTGGATGCCTTTTACCATTACAAATGTTTTATCATGTGACTTCAGGAAGAAGACAGGCAATTTTAGTCAACTGAAATAAAAAAGGTCTATTCATAGTTTTGTACAGTCTAAATTAAAATTACCTAAAACCCAACACTAATTTAAAAGGATATTCGAAATATATTCAACAAATATAACTGTTTAAGACTGCAAATGTGATTCAATTGCCTCCTTTAATCATGAATAGAATATTTTCCAGGCAATGCCATTTCAGGGATCTATTGATCATAATTAGAAAAGGGCCATGAATGACTGCTTATGCTAAGATTGGATAAAATAATTCTTAAGGTTATTACCATTTGAAAGGAAGCAAATGTAGATAAGAACAGGACAAATAAAACCCTGTTATTTACCATTTAAGCTTTGGGATTTATCTTTGTAAGAGAGTTTAAAGTGAAATTTTAGCATACCATCAATCATTGAACACATCAGAAGATAAAAGTGGATTTACTAATCATCTTAACTGAACAAAATGCTATTTCTGTTAACAAATTAATGTTTTTCTTCCAGTTAGATAATCAATAAAAATATAAATAGATTTAAAAGGCAACGCATTACCAAGCTTCTCGTTACACATGGCATGACTTTATTGGCATCCACAAATAAAATTTAAGAAGCACAGCTTTGACAGTTTTGAAATGGCAGCATATTTCTGGAGACTCTTAGTTGTTTCTTAATGACCTATGGGCGTTGACTAGAGCTCAATGAAATCATACACCTCTCTCTTAGAAAAAGAAAAGAAAACAAAAAGATTCCCGTATGGAGGAAGTAGTGATATGGTAATTTTCTAAGAAAACAATTAAGAATAAGGAAAAATATTTTAATGTGCATTCATGTATCTTCGATATGTATTTTGAAAAATTCCCCTGTACAAGCAACAAAGATATGAATTCAATTTTTTTTACATAAGAATATAAACATATAGTTAATCTCATATTTTCTTCTTTTCTTACTGTGTACTAATTCTGCACCATTATTCCTAATATATATTGCCAGGTGTCTTGTTTAAAATTATGTTGAGAAATAGGAAGTTTAAATGCTTTTACAACATCTAATGGAAAAATAATTTGTTTTACAAATTAAATTCCCTATGAAAGCTTGCAGATGATTACATACAAATAATCATTGTTCATATTCCCTTTCTGTAGTGTCGTGGATTAGCCATGGCTGGCTTCCAGGTGCCCACTGAGATGCTCCTCCATAGGACAGAGGGAGAAAAAAGATTAAAGAACTTTAGAATAAAGCTAAGAACATGATTATTTCTTGCCAGTTAATTTCATGGGCCAAACAGATTTGACTTGGGGGAGTTCAGCTTACTGCTAATTAATAACAGCATAAGATTATGAAAAATAAGAAACTAAACTAAAAGCACTTGCTCCTTCCTCTTCTTCCCAGGTTAAGCTTCAGCCCTTCACCCCTGACTTCTGTATGTCTTTCCCTTGTGTGGCACAGGAGGGTGGAGAATGGGGTGTGTATCAGCCCATAACAGCTCCTCCCTGCCACTCCTTCCTTCTCATGCTGTTCCTCTGCTGCAACACGCAGTCCCTTCTGTAGGACACAGTCCTTCATGAACTGTTCCAATGAGGCTCCTTTCCATAGGGCACAGTCCTTCAGCAACAGACTGTCCCAACATGAATTCTGAACTACAGCTCCTGCCAGAAAATCTGCTAATGCATTGTTTCTTCACATGCTGCACCTTCCTCCTGACATGTCCAGCATGGGGTCCTGCACGGACTTCACAGAGATCTCTGCTCCATCACAGACCCCATGGGCTGCAAGAGGACAGCCTGCCGCACCACACTTCTCTCCAAGGGGCTACAGGGGAACTTCTGTTCTAGTGCCTGGAGCACCTTCTCCCTTCCTTCTTCTGTGACATTGATGTCTCCAGAGCTGTTGGTTTCACTTCTTATTCTTTGTCACAGCTGCTGAGCAGCATTTTTACCTATTCTGATATATATGGTACAGGAGCTAGCACCTGGTGGGCACAACTTTGGCCAATGGCAGGATCTCTTAGGAGCTGTCTGTAACTGGCTTTGTCTGATATGGGGTTGGCTTCTGTTGTTTTCTCACGGAGGCCACCTCTATAGCCCCTTCTCTGTTACCAAAACCTTGCCAAAAAGCCCCAGTTTAAGGGTTTTTATTCTAATAGTAAAACACTTCCTTCTGGAGTAATTTTAACAGTGGAAAGAGCATAACTTAGAGTAAATTTACCCCTTTGTCTTCTTTAAACAGATTTAATCAACCATTATTCTGTTGTGATCTCTTATAAACCAGTGTACCAAGACTAGATGAACTATTCAATACAACCCTGGCTATGCAGCAGTATAGTGAACTGTTCCAAAGAGGTCACATTTATATTCTTCACTATGGTGATGAGCTGTTTCCAATATTGTCATTCATTATACTAATTAATGAAAAAGAAAGAGTAAAAGAATGACATAATATCATTAAAAACCATAGGAAATTTTACCTAGTTTATTGTTAGCAAAGTAAAATTGTTTTCAAAAAAACATCCTATGTATTTCTGTTCTGTTAATAAAGAACCAGCCACTCATAAGAGTTTAAAGAATCATAGACCAGTTTGAGTTGGAAGACACCTTAAAAATCCCCTGTTTCCACCCCCCCCGACATTGCCTGCCATGTCTTGCACTAGACCAGGGTGCTCAGAGCCCCATCCAACCTGGCCTTGGATACTTCCAGAGATGGGGGTATCCAAAACTTCTCTGGAAAAACTGTTCTAGTGCCTTGCCAATCTCACAGCATGGAACTTCTTTTTAATATCCAATCTAAGTCTTATCTTTTTCAATTTTCAGCCAATTGCTCCTGTTCTATCACTACACACCTCTGCAAACTATCCCATTTCAGATTTTGTCTAAGCTTCCTTCATGTCTTGAAAGGCCACAATAAGGTCACACAAGAGGTTCTTCTTCTCCAGGCCAAAGAATCCCCAGTTCTAGCCATCTTTGGGAGTCTCAAGTTACCATGTATATGATGATGGACAAAGAAAGAACACAAGTTATGGGACAGATGGCATCTGTGACTGCCAATGACCACTGAATGCCCCGCAAATATTCCTCTGTGCATACCTGGTTAACACAGCTGGGTGAGAATGTATCACTGAAAATGAACACAAAGAATGAGGAATTTATGAGCCACGATGAAAGCTCACCAACTGTGCTAAAGTCAGCTCAGACTGGCCAAAATGTAATTCTGTCAGGG